CCCCAAAACCCCAAAACCCCAAAACCCCTCCATTTCCAAAATAATTGATAACCTACAACCCCTCCATCACCCCAAAATCCATGCTCAATCCCACCCAAATCCTCACAGACCCCCACTCAGCTTCCTTCCTCGGCCAAATCTTCGCTCACAAGTACAAGCTTAAATCTGAACTGTGGCGGGACGATCTAGGTCAAGTATCCAAGATGAAACTTCTGTACACATCAGGCTTTATTCTAAGTATGCAGACCTTGACCCACTCAAAAAAGAGGTGTTGATAAACCAGCAGGTTAGCCATCCCACTATTCCTGATTTTAAGGCATGGGATCTGGAAAAAGATATCTCCAATGAAGGGAATTATCTTGTAACTGAACCAGTCTATTTAAAACCGTTATGTAATGGACAGCAATATTCCGAAAGAATGATACGATTTTTATTCGAGCAAGTTCTTGATTCAGTAGAATCTCTGCATCAAGCTTCTTTCCTCGGATTGGGTCTTGACCAAAACTCTTTCTCTATTAACAAATTATCTACTTTTGAAGAAGGGATGTATTGAATCAAATTTATTGGACATGAAAAATTAAGTAGCAAAAATACAGGTTCATATGACGAAAAGAAGAAGGAATACGAAGATATCTCTGCATTAGGGTCTCTGTTATTCATGCTCATCACAGGCTGAATGCCTTTTAAAACTAAGCAACCTGACGATTATTTTCATAATCTCTTAATTTCAAATATCGAAAAGTTCATAGAGAACCATTCAGTTTTTGATCAGATTCTTAGATCCAACAGAATTTCAACGGATCTTATAGATCTTCTCATAACCCTTTTGCAATGAACTGAGGAAAATTATCCATCTATCACGGATATCCGAGGTAACATGTGGATGCAGACAGTTAATAAGCCATATCCATGATTCATTAAACCAATTTTAGATATCTTATAAAGAATAGAGATGAAATATTCATACTTAGCCGATCTCTTTTTGCTACAATATAAAGAGTATAAAGTAATTCTATAAAAGTTATCTTCTAAGCCTCTCTTCTCTTCTAAGTCCTTCTTCTTGGCTATAAAGAGTTCTGCTCCGCAAGTAATTTTGTAACCGATACTAACAATCTTGACTACTTCTGCCACCATTTATCAGCAGCTATAGAAACATTCAATTTTCCCCAAAAATCTGGGGTTTTGGGGTTTTGGGGTTTTGGGGTTTTGGGG